TTTGCATGAATAATAAGCAAATGAAATAGTGGAGACAGGAATGCAGATGGAAAACTGACAGTCTTGCCCTGCACTTTGGTTCAAAAAAATTTTTTTTGCTTCAGTTAAATAGTATACTTTTAAAATATTAATTTGAGATAAAAACAAGTTTTTATTTTTTCTTTACTGAAGGAAGTATTTTAATTGTAATTTGTAGGGAAGTACAGAATGAGACATGTGGTGTCATCAGTGTGTTACTTTCCTACTTTACGTGTTCGAAATTTGCTTGTATATTGTAACTAGAAATTATGTGTTAATCTGTATTGCAAACTGTACCCAGTAAATGATAACACAGAAGCAAAAATATTTGCTGGGATGTCATCTTCAGTAAGATCTGTGAAGGGTGTGCCTTGGCCAGACATGAATTGGTGAGATCTGCAGAGAACTAGCAGCCTCTTTGGCTTGTGCATGGGATCAGAGAGCACAGACCCTCTGAACTTTACTTGCTAAATTTGACTGTCTTATCACTGGTACTATGAAGCAGTCAAAAGTGCATTTGCAGCGAGTGCAGCAGCATGAACCTGCTGAATCTGACAGAACTCAGAGGGATTTATGTGGGAAAAGCAAGAAGAGACAGCTTCTCTGCCCCCTTCCCCCATCCTGCTTTAAAATAGGCACCGTGAGACACGTGTGGGGAGAGGTGTTTAGTTTTTATTATGTTAAAACTTCCTGGAATGATTTCATTTTGTCCTTTGGTAAGTCTTTTAAATAACTCCTCTAAGTTGTGTGTATAGATCTGCTTATATTATCTCTGTTAGCTTTCTTCTTGAGCCTCACTGGTTTCTAGGACATCAGGTTTCTGATTCTTTTTGTATTAGTGGTTTAAACCAGCTGCAGTTCTTACAGTGTATGCTCTTAAAATAATATCTGCCTCCATTTGTTAGCTGCTCTTTGGACATAAGAGATTACTTTGGAAGTTTTATGGAGTTTTATATTGGCTCCTTCAAATCCTCTGACACTGTAATCTTCATTCATTTTGCTCTTTCTCTAACTGCTGCATGTAACGTGTGTGTACTGGTGCTGTGTCTATATGACTTCTTTGTGCTGCACATTGGCTGAGGTTGAGATTGGGAGGTGAGAACTGAGGAATCACACCAGTAGATATGTATCATTTAATGTGTTACAGATGACTTAATACTGTAAAGAGAGATTGTACTCTAGGACTGTTCAGTATAGATTATGCATAGTAGCAAAATTTGAAATTGGTATTTATCTGGGGTAGCTGCACAGAATTATGTGGGATTTTTTTGCATACAGAGATGAAAAAATGCCTGGGAAGGAGGGGAAGAAATATCAGAAAGACAAATGTTAATGCTGGAGTCTAACAAGTTAAATATATTCATATTTTTCAGTAAACTTTGAGGCTTTAATTATTGCCATAGCTGTAGTAGCTGGACTGATCCTGGTGTCCGTAGCAGTCTGTTGCTGTTACTGCTGTTACTGCAGAAAGCGTTCCAGGAGGTAAATACATGTGTTTGTTTCATTTACTAACACTGGGTGCTGGTCTTTTCTACCTACTTACAATTTTTATTCTTCTATATCCTAAGACTATTTTCATTTGAAAGCAATTGTAGTCACTTTGCTTTGAGAAAGCCAACAAAAAAAGAGATGTTTAGGAGATGCACAGGTAGTACAACAGTGGAAGTGGTGCTAAAATGACGCTGAAGTGATGTTTACAGTGGTAGCAGCACAGATGTGTTCAACTTTAGGTAAGGTATTGCTTCACACTTCTACATTTTGTACTTTCTTAGTAAGGTTGGACATGAAATATTTCAGTGATGCAATTCTTGTGATAATGGAACAGATAATTTCTTTCAAGGCAAACTCATGATACAGGAAAAAGGGACTGAGCATCAGTGTCCTATATCACTTGGTATCTAGGCTTCAGAGTTGCTCTAGGATCTGTTAGCAGTCAGTCAGTATGTAAGTGATCAGCTGTCTTTGCCAAATCAATAAAATACTCTAAATGTAAGATAATAGGGTTGGGTTTTTTTGCTCTAAGATACTAAGAATGATTTGCTTGTTTTCAAGTAAAGTAGTACTGCAAAAATTAAATAGTCTTAAGACTTGTAAAACCTTTTCTTTTAAACTGGGCAGTGTAGTTTCAGCTAGCGCCATTCCTTTGGTCCTTCAATAGTTCTCCTGTGAATAAAATGTGGACCTTATTTTTTGGTCTGAACTAATTTCTATACTTTTGTTTTACCTGTGACTGACTGTTCTTGTTTGAGGGTTGTGTTTGTTTGGATTTTTTAAAGAACTTATGTAACTGTACATTATTTAGTGCTGACCTTGAAGCCAGAGAAATATGGTACATCTGTGGCTTTAAAAAAATTAGAAAATAACATCTCATTCCTTTCTCTCTTCCCTGAGGAAGATGCATGCACCTCTTCTGCTGGTAGATTGCTCTACCAAATCTACTCTAGTGCAAAAATGGATACCTATTTAGCCCCGTGCTGATAAGCCCTGAAGATGTATAGAACAGGTTTAGATCTTATATAAGAACTGCCAGCATCCTCTGCTGAA